GACCGGAAGTCGAACTGTGACCTCCTGGTGCACGGGACAACGCCCAACCACTGAGCGCACCAGCCAGGGCCAGAAGCACTAGCCTCTCAGCTGACAGGGCCGTGGGATTGTGGACTCTGGGTCAGGCCTGGTGCTTGTAAACCCCCCTTCTCCGGGAACACAGAGGGTGGCCAAATGTTCCATTTGAGCCCAAAGAAAATCCAGCGCTGCTTGCAAAATAGTCCTGTTTCATTTGTCATTAAAGACAGGCAACCTAACGGACAGAGCTTCAGGAGCAGGTACCCCACGCAGCCAAGCCCGCCCGAGAGCATTTGCCGCAAATGTATTAAGCAACGTGCAGATAACAGGACTTTCATCCTCCAGCAAGCCTTTCTGGGGGGCTCTGGGACTCAGAGATGGAAGTCCATGCCTGAGTAGGCTTGGGGCAATGTCCACCCCAGGCTCCCTGAAGGTCGACGGGTCACCTCTTCGTTCTCCTGGGACCATCGTTTTATAACACAGCAGGAATTTTGCCAGCGCGAGAGTTGAGATGGACTCTGATAAAAGCCCACACATGCGGTTTAAGTGATGAAACAAAAGGTGAGCTGAAATGTTGTCAGAGGAATGCCCGGCAGAGAGCATGTTTTTACACAAACAATCGTTTAAAAATACCCTTCCCCCCGGCTGCTGTGTGACCGTGGTCTTGACTCTTTTTCATGAAGAGTGGTTTGAGTTCCATCAGATTCTCTGCTCTGGGAATCTGGCCTGAGAGACACAGGTATTGAGGGCGGAGTCACGTTCCTGGCTAAGAGCTGGAGGCGAAGGGCCGGGAGCTGGTCTCCTGCAGCTGCCCCAGCCTGGCTTCCCTCTCCCTTACGTTCTGTGAGGTGCGCCACCATCTTTCCAGGATGTTGAACTTGGTTTCTGTTATTTGCATCCTTATGGCCCTGGAGTTAAACAATGATAAAAAGGCATCTCCCGCCAGGCCAGTGTTGCTCAGTGGTTGAACGTCAACCCGTGAACCAGGAGGTCACCGTTCCATTCCGGTCAAGGGCATATGCCTGGATCTCGGGCTCCATCCCCCATGGGGGTCGTGCCGGAGGCAGCCGGTCAATGATTCTCTCTCATCATTGATGTTTCTATCTCTCCCTCTCTCTCCTTCTCTAAAAATATACAAAATCGTATATTTTTTAAAAAGCAAATGGAATGAATGAGCAAATACACAAATGTGAGTTGTTGCGAACAGGTTGGCAGGGCTCTACCTGGCTCCCTGCTGACTCACCCGCAGGGGGGTGAGGGATCCCTACTCCCCTCCCCACTCTGCCATGTCTTCCTCTTCAGGTGACCCCGGCTTTTAACTTTCTACCCCTAGGAGCTGATCGGAGAACCAGATAAGCAAAGTGCTCTGAAAACGTGCAATTCAAGGGAGATTGACTGCCATTCAGCTGGGAACCTGCATATCTGCATTTCTCATCTGCCTCCCAGTCAGGGCGTGAGAGCAAACCTGTCTTGCCGAAGAATCGAGAAGCTGGAAATGAAGGCGTAACAGAAACTTGGACGCACCACCACCACCGACTCCAACCGGACATCTCCCTTCCGCGGCAGCAGGGGAACCGAAACGACTGCACTGGGAACCTCTGTCTTCCCCCTTCTATGCAAATCCCAGTCCTGATTCCTCTTTTTTTTTTCTTCATTTTATTTTTAAGTTTTTATTGATTTTGTTGGGGAAAAGGGGGGAAACATTGGTTAATATACACAAATAAGTTTTTAAAATACACAAATAAGAAGAGCAATATTCACTGAAATCTAAGCAAACGCAAGGGCAATCTGTTCTCGCACTCCTGCCTGCAACTATCCTTCCGAACGGAGTGGTTTTTACTTATGCCCTGGCCTGCCTGCCCTGGCCCCAATGCATGTGGAATTTTAACTTCGCTGTCTCAGCGTCCTCGGCCTTCTCACATTACAGGAGACGATATTTTTCTACCAGGACACAGTTCACAACCCATAAAGGTCCCTGCTTGAGCAAGCATTCCCATTTCTGTGAACTGTCACCCAGACACATGCAAGCCCAGACTGTGTCCCACTTCCAAGTGTATGGATGGGGTGGATTTCTCACAAGTACAGAAACACACGCAAATGAGCCGGGAGGCATCTTCCCGGGCCACCGCCCACCGGCCACAGGCAGCCGGCATCTCCCTTTTAATGACAAAAGCAAACAGGTGGGAGCAGCTCTTTTCCCTGAAGCCTTTTTAACGGCTCAGCCTTCCAATGCGTGTCAACAAGGGAGGAAGGGATTAATTGCCGGCTGCAGCACAAATGCCGTTTCCTTCCCTTAGTAACACTGTCTCTCTCGGGCTAACCCCCTTCTTACCACCGCGGGGACCTGGGATGTTAACCAAAGTTCATGAGTCTCTCTGTCTAGTCCGGTTCTGCTAAAGCTTGGCTGCAAGACGAATTGATCCCAAGGAGCCCCGGGTGGTCGAGGGCTTGGGAAACGATGCCTGGGCTCCCGCCAGGAGCAGCAACTCCTCTCCAATCGCTTCGTTCTCCTTTCCTCAGCCGGAGCCGGGAGCAGGCCAGGCACGGCCCCAGGAGCTGAGAACCAGCCAAGCCTCAGGCAGGCGAAGGGCAGACGCCCCGTGAATCACAGGTGCCGACCGATCGGCGTCTCTGTGGCTCCCACTTCGCTGGGCAGGGAACCTGGACAGTTTTGCCGCCTTCAGTTCCCCGGGTGTCCAGGATGGAGCGGAAGTTTCGCTCTCCGTTCCTCCGAGATGTCTGCCGTCCCTGCAGCCACGCGGCCCACTCCACCCACACCGCTCCTCTGAGTCAGGTCCTCCGGGCCGGGCCGGGCCCAGAAACCGCAGGCCGTGCTTCATGGTGTTCCTCTGGGCACCGGCCGCCCGGCACGGTTTCTCCAGAGATGTCGGTTCTTGGTGACAGTCTCCCTCCTTGGCTGCTTAGCGAGAGGCTGCAGTCAGGTAAGAGGGGCTCCAGGGCTCCCCGGATTCGGCCATCAGAGCGCCCGGGATGCTCCTGGACGCACTCAGGTCCCCCGTGAGCTCGATGCTTGTGCTCCGGTTATTATCCGGCTCCTCCGGCTTCTTCTTGCGGAAGCAGCGGTGGATCAAGGCGGAGAAGAAGTTGGGGAAAGACGGGCTGGAGAAATAGTACACCAGAGGGTCCAGCATGCTGTTCATGTAGGTGAAGCTGAGGGTGATGAAGAACGCCAGGTCCACCGAGCGGTAGATGTCGCAGGTCTCCTCCGTCACGTAGTTGTCCATCGTGTGCAGGAGCCAGAAGATTCGGATGCGCACGGCCACGCTGGGCAGGAAGCAGATGACGAAGACGATGGCCACCACCATGATGAAGGTGATGGCCCTCTTGATCTTGGTGTGCCGGTCCATCTGCCGCTGCCGCAGGCTCCAGACGATGCGGATGGAGCAGAACAGGATGATGCCCAGGGGCAGGAAGAACTCCAGGAGGAACATGGCATCGTGCCACCGGAAGGTATTGCAGATGCTGAAGCTGCTGCACAGGTAGGCGTTGCCGTTCTTGACCAACATCTTCTTGTACAGGAGGTGCACCGTCAGGCCGATGGTGAGGGCCCACAGGAAGCAGGAGACGATGGCCGCCTTCCGGTTGGAGATCTTGTTGAGGGCGTGGTGGGGGTGGACCACCCGGAAGTACCTGTCCACGGCCACCACGGTGAGGAAGATGATGCTCCCTTGGCGGTTCATGGCCAGCATGAAGAGCATCAGCCGGCAGGGGACGTCCCCGAACTTCCAGTCCCACTTCCTCATGTAGTTGTCCATCAGGAACGGCAGGCAGATGATCAGGAGGAAGTCGGCCACGGCCAAGTTGAATAGGAAGATCCGGCTGGACTTCCAGGACTTGAGGTGGAAGCAGAAGATCCACAGGGCCAGGCCATTGCCCAGGAGCCCAAACACAAACTCCAGCCCCAACACGGGCGGCAGGACTTTGGCGATGAAGTCATCCCGGAACACACAGCAGTTCTTGTTGTCGATTTGCAGAAAGTGAGTCTCGGGGTCGTGCGGGTGGTGCGGCTGCATGAGGGGCGGCGGCCGGGCGGCTGGCTCTTGGCGCGGGGAGCGCCTCACCTAGGCTGTGCTCACGGACGGAGGTGTGTGTCTGTGTGGAGGACGTGAGCTTCGCCGCCCGCCTTTATGTCACGTCGGGGTGTTGAAATAGATGACTGAATGGTTACCAGGAAACTACGAAATCGCTAAAAAAAAAAAAAAAAAAAAAAAAAAACCCGGCAAGGCTCTTAGGCAACCGGCTGTTTGCATAAATAAGTAATAAAAATCCCCAGGGCCGACAGGAACCCACAAAACGTTCTAAATGTAAAGGATGGGTTTGGGCAAGACGCCCGTTGTGGGGAGTGACGGAGCCTCGCAGGGCATCCCTCTTCAAGCATGTCTGCTGCCTGCTCAGTGCGGGAGACTGATTCCCTGCCGTGGGGTCGGCTCACGCCGCTGGGGAAACGGCCACAGCGACAACGACTTACTGGGCTAAGCAGCCTGGTTTTCCAGAAACATTAAGAACGGGGAGGAACTATTCGCACGCACGTGGGTTAGGGAGCAGCAGGTGTGTGGTTTCTTTTGGAGACGCTGAGAACACAGTCATTGTCTATTTCACGAGGACACGTGACGGGGGTGTTATGTCCCCCATGCCCATCTTCTCGGCCCAAGCAATGGGTTGGCTTCTCCAGAACTCTGCAGTGAATTTCTACTTTTGCAAAAGAAAAAAAAAAAAAAAGCATCGTGAGAGCAGCATAAAATTTCCTAAGACGGTGGGAGCCATGCCAGGGGTATGTTACAACCAGCCCAGGTTTTTTTGTTCATGTTAGATTTCGATACGCTTTCCTGCTCAAGTGATTTATGTCGAAGTACGTGATTTTTTAAAAACATTAGCAAGCTTTGTTTGTGAGAGCAGTTTGAGCTTCTCAGCCAAATCGAGCAGAAAGTGCAGGGAGTTCCTGTGTACCCCCGTCCCCGCACAGCCTCCCCCGCTTAGCGTGTGATATTTTAAAAGCCCCCCTCTTTTTTTTTTTTTTTTTTATAATTGAACTCAGAGTGACAGGACCTAAGAGGACTTTGAACTCTTGCTTCGAAGCCGGTCACCGTTTCACGCATCGTTTCTTTGCTTTTTGGTATAATTGGGTGTAAGGCTGCAGAACATTTCTACCCGTGACATTTGGGTCTGTCAACTTCTTGCTTTGCTACAAGTTTCTAAATTGCTTCTACTTGGAGTTAGAAATAGGCAAGTTGCCCAGCTGGTGGTGGCTCAGGGGTTAAGCATTGACCTATGAACCAGGAGGTCACGGTTTGATTTCCAGTCAGAACACAGGCCTGGGTTGCAGCCTCAATCCCCAGTGTGGGGCGTGCAGGAGGCAGTCAA